CATTTTGCACTCATATGATCAAGCCTATAGTTTCACAGACCTGCATCCACCCTGGTTCTAGCCACATCAATGAAATTAGTTATTTCATTGATCAATAATGGGTGCCTTCATTGTTGCCCTGAGTTATCATTAATACCCCCTGGTCACTTTCCATGAATCACTTGTGAAAGTTGACACGAGTCCTGTCTTTGCCAGCTGACTCACAGAGATATTTGTCTTCAAATTAGAAACATATTTGTCTTCAGTAAGCTTCTAGATTGCTCCATTCGACAACTTTATATCAACATCACCCTTTTCTATTATGCTGTAGGCCTTATTATCTCTCAAATAAATTTTCCCTAGATCACTCTGATTGTAAATTTTAAATATCTATTTATTGAGTTTAAGATGAAAAGAGGCACCTGAATTCACCCTTCTTCAGGATGCAGTTCTGGATAGGGATAACACCAGGGAGTCATTTTGAATTTCACTAATGGAGTTATTGGTGGAGAAACTACTATCCTGTCCTCCACTAGTTTCATTTGCAGTCCTTTTTGAGATGCCCCTTCTTACTGTAGTTCCAATATTCTCCTTTGCTTGACTTAAGTTTTCCTTTTTCGGACGTGGATTTGCTTCTACTTGTAATCCTACCCAGATTTAATTCTCTGTTATCAACATTCAACGCGAAACCTAAGATTCACCATTCATAACTTTTTTGCAAACTTCATTAAGCATCATACCCACGATATTATCGAAGTTCAATTTTGAAGTCCCTGAAAGAATTACTGCCATTATCAAACTATCACAACTTTCCAGTAAAGAAGATAGTATAATCAGTGCTCTGATCTCATCAACAAATTTGATCCCCACAAAACACAACTGACTCGTCACAATGTTGAAGTTATTGAGATGCTCTGCCACTAAATTGTGTTCCACCTTCTTCATGTTGAATAATTTCTTCATAAAAAAACCTTATTAGATGCAGAAGGTTTTTGTACAACTTGGCCAATGTCGCAATGAGATCCACCATGTTTTTCTCATTCACAATGTTGAACGCAACAAATGAAGAAAGTGTTAACCTGATCAAACCCAATGCCGATCGATCCAACGCTTCCCATCCCTTCATAGGCATAAACTTATGTTTTCTTATGATTTCTTATAGTAGCCAGTGCAATTTTTTATGATACACCAAATCCTTCATCTGCATCTTCCAAAAAGCGAATTCCGTCCCATTGAACTTCACCTTGAACCGTGCTTCTTTGGACATTGCTCTCAGTCGAATCGAACCTCGCTCTGATACTAGTTTTGTTCGGAATCCTCCAAATAATTCTCAATGTCATGACGGAATAAGATTATAGGATTTGAGAAAATCAGAACTATGAATTTAAACTAGAAGCACAATAAAAAAAACAACTAGAAAAGAACACATGAATTTTACGTGGAAAAATTCAAGAACGTGATAAGACTACGAAGCCACAGTACCTTAAATTTCATTATGAATTTCAGAGAGTTTTAACTAGGATTCACACAAGTTTTTTTTCCACACCCACAAAACAATTTACAGTGCACCATTCCACTCTCTTCCTACTGATCCGACGCAAAAACACACGTCGGAAAACTCTAGAATCCTTCTCACCAATACTTCTTACCTTCACCAGGATTTTGTTGATAATCAAACAGGAAGAGTTACGCTCCAAGTCCTCACATATGCTGCCCAAAATTGTGACATAAGTAATAGTTCTCATGAAAATTGCTTCTGGCACCTAGGAGCCACTATTTGGGCACCTGGGCGCTTGGGCGCCCAGTTCTTTGGAGCAAGCGCCCCAACTGCTGAAGTGGGTGCTAAGCGCCCAGTTTGGGCGCAAGACTTCCACCTTCTCGGTTTGGGAACACTCAATGGGCGCTTAAGTGCCCATAGCCTTGCGTCTTGGCGTCGGGTGCACTAACTACGTGGAAGCCAACTAGCCTGTTGCTCATGGGTGCTACAATCTGACCCCACAACTAACTTTGTTGTCTCCTGAATTCTTTTGGTTACTGTTGCTCGCGTCCGTTCTTGATTTCGTCGCGCGGTCTCGCACTGATCGAAGATGGTTTTGTGTAATACTTCATGATCTTCATGATTTCTTTCAGGGTAGTGAATCTTTGATCAAACCTTCCTTCTATGGTTGAGAAACGTTTGTCTATTTTAGATTTGATGTGACTTTTGTGATAAACAAAAAAAAAGATAATAAAATTAATAATCGAATAGACACATGGATAAACATCTCTTTGTTCTCTCTTTAGAGTCGCATGTCTCTTTCAAAGAGAGCAAAAACCAGAGAAAGAAGGAAGAAAAAGAGGGAAAAGAACAAAAAAGAAGAAGACTTGTTGTATAACATTAGAGGCGGCACCGCAAGTCAGAGGGCAAAAATCGGCTTCGAAGCATAAATGAAAGAAGGAGCAATTAGTTGATGTCAGAGACAACACTGAGGTTTCGTCAGTGTGCAACGTAAAGCGTCGAAGCCATAGGAGAAGTACCTTGTGCCTTAGTGTGGGTTGGTTGGAACCCTAGCTGACGAGGTGACGACGCCGTGCCTGCGACCTAAGACAGAGAAGGACGAAGAAGAAGAGCGAGGTCGTTTTCAGCACTACCTTGTGGGTTTGAGAAGCCGAAGAATAAGTGGAGGTGCGAAGGAGGAGGGAAGCAGAGCTTGCAAGATAGAGGGATGTGTCACATCGAGCAACAAGGGAGACGATGTGGGGAAGTAGAAACCGAGCTTTGCTAATATGATAATTTAGGTTTGGAAGACTAACAAGGAGTTTGTGAATGTTTTAGCCCCTAAGGGAGAAGTGCAAACACATTGATAGATTCGAGGAATTGATTCAGGTACAACTTTAATTAAGACTTTCTTTACTTTTAAGTACATAGCTGTCAAATTCGATAATATAAGATAAATCATACTTAATTAAATCATAAATTTATGTCGAATTAGGATACTAAATTGTAGTGATAATTAATTAAATATTATTTTATAATCGGTTATATGTATTCTCTTGTAAAAGAGATTTCAGAACTTAAAAACAAACAAACATCATCTGAAATTAAGGTGAGTACTAATACTTTTAAAAATATAGTAACTTTGATTTCTCTTATGTTTGGTTTGCTATATGACTTGATTAAATAGATCTTACTGCCTTCAATTTCATTTTGATCATGTCGAGTGTATGCCACATGATAATAGCATGTTATTTAACTGCATAGTTCAGGTTATTTAATGGTATGATAATAATGAGATTTTTTATTTTGATTGCTTGCATGTATGTTTAACTATGATTGGGGGAATGCTAATGTACTTGTGCACATAAATGAAAAATGTTATTGATATTGATATATCTTAAATGGTACAAAATTTTCAGACAGTGCTCCTGTGACAGTTGTATACAAATTAAAATAAAATTGATATGTAAACAATATAATAAGATATATAGTGAATGTTTAAATCACATTGAATGATTATGTTAGATAATACAAACTGTTAAACATCATTGTATTATTATATTGTTTAATTGACATGTATATTATCTCTCTTTTCATTGAATTATTATAAAGTAGAAGTATGAGTATTCACTAACTTTGTTTATTTAACTAACATTTTATGTTTGATTAATTTATTAAAAGATGAATGATAAACAAGAAAATATTTATAAACACCGGGGAGAACCATAAATGAGGTAAAATCTAATTGTATTGTTTTATTTTTTTTAGTTGCTCTTTCATTTGCTAATAAATGTTAGTCGCAATCCCGTCTTTGGCTTCCCAGCTAGCGTGACTCACAAATGTTTTTGCGTGTTTCAGTCATCCACACCTTGCCATGTACGCCGTGATCCCTTCTCTTACGACTGTTTCGTGAGTGTCTCGCTTTCCTGTACACTAGGATTATGTCATTGCCTCTCATATAGCTCGAGCTCTACTTTATCGAGCCTATAGGCATGTCATGCTCCTGACGTTGCTTCCTCCTACGACCAATTCCCATAATTCTTCTGTAGCTCCGATCTCGTAGTTGCTTTAGGGCGTTCGCGACTGTATTGCGCCGCGTTTTTTTTTTCTTTCCGGATTGAAAGCTCAAGGCATATACAAAAATAAGCAGCTACAACTTGAGAGATAGTCGATCTTTCAATTCCTACAATTCAAGAGGTAGGAAATCTCTCCAAAACCCTAACTCTAAGATTCAAGACCCAATGTTGTGCATATCCCTAACTCGAAACATATTAACTCTATTTATACCCAACAATAATAATAATAAAAGACTAAATTGTCCTTGGGCTAATAAAAGACAGAGTCATCCCTATTCACTGCAAAACTGAATCTTCAAGCAATGATCAACTGTTGATTAAAGCATATTTAAATAATGATGAAATTATTTTTTATTCATCTTTGACATAGTTTTGGATTTTCTTATTGATTTTTTTTTTCAAGACAATTGTCTATTATTCAAGGCACAAGAAAAGATTTTGGAATGCCATCTTGTAGTAGAATGTGTCACAGGGGGTGGGGCTTGAGCACACAACTATTACAAATGTTAGTCAATAGTCTCACGGATAGAGAATTGACAGATTTTCTACCACTGCCAATGAAACTTTGTCCAAAATTTATTTATGAGATTCAAGCAAAACTCTGATGCAGCACTTGTACTTTGGTAAAAATAATTCTAACTACAACCGAAAAAATGACTATTTTTAGATTGTCTTCTTTCGAATCTGCTCCCAAACTGCCAATTGAGCCCCGGAAACTTCAAAATCATATGCTTATAAGTGCACAGTAGCTTGTATTTTGTCGTTTCTATATTTCATAAGAAGTATTAGGTAAATTTTATTTGTTTACCATATATTAATTTAATAATAAGTAAAATTTTACTTGTAGATGTAAAATAAATTACGTAAAGCTGTACATAATTGAAGTTTCTTTTTATAGTCGATTCTCTTTTGTCTTATTTATGCTTTATTGAGCTGCTAGTCATGCTTAGTGTTATTTAATATCTCAGAGTTCTGTATTAGCCTTGGATCATTCTATTCTGGATGTTGATCAAGTGGAAAACCTGATCAAGTTTTGTCCAACCAAAGAAGAGATGGAGCTTCTTAAGGTGCTTCTACTGACATTTTTTTTAATAGAAAATATTTGTGAAGAGGTTTCTAGACTTTATCCATTTAGGTTTACATTTCTAATTTATGTTTTTTTCAGGCATACACGGGTGACAAGGAAAAGCTTGGGAAATGTGAGCAGGTAGTCAGGTGTCCCTTTTCTTTTAAGAAGTCTCCTTTGACCATCATAAAATAATCTTAGTAAGAAAGTACCGAACTTTAGAACTATGGACACTATTGTATTCACAAACGTGATAATTTAGTTCGCAAAATTGCTTTATAAAGCATGGGAAACAGAAAGTACTCGTTCTTTTTGGCATCTTACAACTAGAAAATAGTGATTTAAATTCCTGTTTCGTTATGCTAGGTCTATCAAAATCTAATTTTTTTCATGAGTTCTGTGATACCTGATGAGTTTGGCAATAGTCCATAAAATAGTGAACATATCTTGACATCTTGTTTTTTCAAGATTTGAAATCCAAAAACTCCCCCTTTGAAGGTATCACATCACTGGGATACATACCCAATGTTTCAAAACAACAGCTAGTTGGAATATTAACCTTTTCAATTAAATTAGTACAACCGGATTCTAACTCTTGTTGCATGGCACACAAATAACTTATTGCCTTAGCTTGCCCATTTAAATCCTTGGTAAGCTGGTAAATTCAATTACTATTCCCTTAGTATTGAATGAGTAGAATAGTGGGATTAGCCGGCATACCTTCCATTAGCCAAAATTGCACTTTATGGAGATTGACTTGTTTTAATTTTCACCTTCCAGCCATATCGAAGTCGAAGATCATTTACGCTGTAATATGGCTTATGAAACCCACTCTCAATATAGTTGCATTGTGCTCCTCCTCTGTTTTTCATTTCATTGTAGGGCGGTAGTTCACCTGATGTTTAAAAAATAATACAAATTAACATGGATAAGATTACCAACGATAATGCATAACAATAACTAAACAGAATTATAAATAAAACAGCATTTTTTATAAACCCTAGGAACTAAATCATGGATTGCATATTCTCATATTTGTGAAACAAAAGTTCAATTTCATGTTACCTGACATGCCCTCCCTCCCTTTTATCTTGCTCATTGATGGGAAGTAGAATATTGGGCTTCATGCGATCACTATTCTTGTTTGGTTTTCACTCAAGTTAGTCGATGACTAACACATGTTAAATGACACCCCTTTACTGGTGAATAATGCCATTTATTATATTATATAGTGGTTAGGCCACAAAGTGGCTTTTCTCTTTTAAATTCGCCTTTAACTTTGACAAACAGTTAAAAGTGACTAAGCTGTTGGTTGCCCCTCTAATCATCATTGTAACTCTAGTTTTGCTATTTACTTATGTTTCCTTGGTCACCCCTACAACATAGTTTTTCTAATTCAGCTATGAGTAAATACTTGAGATATCCTTTGATTTGATGAAAATTTTCTATTTATAAAGTAGATTCAAGCAGTTCAGATTGGTTTAAAAATAAATAAATGTTTTTGGAGGATTTAGTTGGCTTCTTATTAATCTATAAATGCTTTTGGCTAGGATTTGGAGGTAGGGAGTTGAATTGGGTGTGCAATGTTATTTTTGATTTCTTTCTTAATAAACACATAGATGATAACTAAATCAAAATGAAATACATACACAAGAAATCATAGGGCCTATGCCAATTTCAAAGTTACTAGAAATCTGTACAAAAATGGTATGTTTATCCTTCAGCTTGCTATGAATTGTCTATGAATCTCAAGGCTTCATTATGAGTGTAAAGAGTGGACTCAATAGCAATTAGTGACATCAGTGATCAAGAGCTCTCATAATTCCATAAAATTCTTGTTTTGTAGGTAGAGCACATTCTTCCAGAATCATTTCACTTCTCACTGAAGAAGACAATGAGGTACCTGTCTTGACTCAACATAACTCCAATCTTCACTTTGGATGCATCACACTCCACTTTGAATATCTGATTGAATTCTAGAAGATCTTGGACGAGCTTGAGTAACTTGTTTTTTCAAAGTTTTAAAGCTAGCATGTCCTTCATCTGACCAAGAAAATCTGTCGAACTTCAGAAGCTTCATTAGGGTAATAACTATTGAGTTGAAATTTCTAATAAATATTATGTAAAAAAAGTCAATCCATGAATTGACGTATCTAAGTGAATGACTTGGACCGGGCTAGTTAACAAATAGCCTCAATCTTGGCTCTATCTATTTGAATGCAAGTCACTGTTGTAATATATCTAAGAAAGCAAGTTTATGTAGTCAAAAAGTGACACTTATTTGAGTCTTCATATTATTGGGTTGTCCAAAGCATCTAAAAAATCTCTCGTAAGCGCTTTAAATGATCCTCCAAAATATGATTGTACATTAAGATATCATGAAAATATACAACCAATTGATAAATGCTTGAAAAATCTAGTTCATCAGTCACATTAAATGCAAGTCACTGTTTGAATCTTGGCTATATCTATTTGAATGCAAGTCATTGTTGTAATATATCTAAGAAAACAAGTTTATGTAGTAAAAAAGTGTTACTTATTTGAGTCTCCATATTATTGGGTTGTCTAAAGCATCTAAAAAATCTCTCGTAAGAGCTTTAAATGATCCTCCAAAATATGATTGTACATTAAGATATCATGAAAATATACAACCAATTGATAAATGCTTGAAAAATCTAGTTCATCAGTCACATTAAATGCAAGTCCGTCGTACATGCTACCAAAAGACACGATTGTTCACTCTTACTATTTGTCACGTCTTGAAAGATTTCTTCTACTCATCTCCTAATCTCATCCTGATCTGATGGTAACTACTGTGCAAATTGGTTTTGGAGAAGCTGTTAGCTTCGTTCAATTGATCTAACTAGTACTTGATTGTGATTTGTTCACATTATTTCTATCAATACATGTACACCGAGTGCCATTATTCTTTGGTATAATTTGAGCTAGAATTGAACACGAACTAATACTCTCATGGATCAAGTCTTTAGCCATAAAGTTTGTAACTTACTTCTACAAGCTTTACTCGACTAGTCAGATCATGTAGGTAGTTTTGTTTGGAAGAATAAATTCTGGAATGTAGTCTATGATATGCTGGATCTCTCAAAGTCGTGACAAAATAAGAGTAAGTTGTCGATCTAGACATCCTATAACTCTCTCAGGAAGGGGCTGCACTATATATAGAATTGACTTCTTGGACTCATGTTAATCTGATTGTTGCATCTCTCAAGACTTGTAGAAAAGTAGTGTTAGCACTGTGGTCTCATAATTTGTGTGAACACTATATACATGACTCCTTATGAACACTATATACATGACTCCTTGTAAAGAAAAGTGTATGACACGTTTCCTATTCTTGGTGAAAGAGTAAGTGTTGCCAGGGATGCCCAATAGGATGTGATGAATATCCATAAGTACTTCATCACACCACACCCGCTCTTAGAATGTGTCACCAATAGAGAACTCACTAGGCATCTTCTATCAGTTATGATCTCATTTCCTTGCTTCAATCAAGTCAAGGAATATGGTTGGGTGTGTTCAATTGGGTAAGGCTTAACTTATCTACCATTTGCACATTCTCACAATTGTTTCTGTCAATTGTTAAGATAACTCTTTCCTTCATGATGCAACGAGCATGAAAAATGTGATGAAACCATTATTGATTGCTTGGGCTCAGTCTGAAGGATCTGTCAAACCATTATCATCTCTCTATCATTGGAGAGAAGTTGATATTGCTCTTTGCTATCCTCATTTTCTTGTGTCCCCAATATCATTGTCTACTGCTTCCATTATTTCCTGTTTAGGGAAAGATATCACTCGTCTATTTGGACAATCATACGTTATGTGCCCAAAATTATGGTATTTGAAGCACTTCCTGATAGAGGATTTGGGGGTGCTGGATCCATCGACATTCTCTGTAACTTGGGCTTGATCTTGTTATGTTCCCAAAATCATGGTATTTGAAACACTTCTTGGCAAAGAGCTTAGGGGTGCTGGATCCACTCACATTCTCTCCAACTTAGGTTTGATCTCATCTCTTGTGGGGCTGACTTGGGAGCTCTGATAGGTGTACTTTTATTGCTTGCTTCTAGGGCTGAGTTTTTCTTGTAAAGTGTGGCGGCTTTCGCATGCCGATGTTGCTTCACTACCTTTAATGCTTGGGTTTGTATGTCGATTAGGGACTAATACGACTACAAATGTACCATCAAGTTCGTTTCAATATGAGTTATTCAAATTCTACTTTGTACTCCTCAATAGATAATTCTTTTTGGTGCATATTGTAAAGTTTTAAGAATATATTTTGCCAATGATTTTAGGGAAGTTATTTGTACCATATCTCACTTTATCTTGGACCACGTAATGATTTTATTCTTTCCTTCTTGCTATCAGATGCACTTTCGATTTTCACCACAAAGAGCTATTCTTCCTAAGTTTGATGGGCCGCCCCTCTCTTGTACTGTGGAGCATCTTTGTATGCAAAAGCTTGTTCCATAGTATGGAGCCATTTAATGGAGTTGTTAGAATCCATAGAACGGTCAAACGCCGACAAGTTTGTCTTTACCTCAAAACATTGCCTCTTCATTGATATTGAAAATTAAATCGTCGTGGTATTGGTTCATCATCAGTGGAAACATCTTGGTGGAAGGGGTTAACCTCTTTCTCTAGATCTAGTGAGTAACTATTTTGGCTACGAGTGATCTCTCATGATTGTCTTCTTTCATGTTTGGTAAGTTTTTGTTACAGTTGGAGAATTTTCCTTTGCATATCTTCCATTGTGAGCTCGTGGACACCCATTTGAGTCTTCCTCAATGGCATGGTGACACTTTCTCACTTTGGTGTTGGCATGGAGAGAGATTGATTTTGGTGTGGTTGAAGGTGTGAGGGGCAGTTTTAGGGTTAGGGAGAAAGAATACGGTTAGGGTTAGGAACAAGTACTTAAATTATGCTGATTTTAGCTTTATAAATGAGAAAAAAAAGCCCTAGAGATTTTGGGTTTGGATGGCTCTTGTACAAAATAATATTGTTTGGCTTTGTGGAAGATGTTTGAAGTATCAGATCTAAAGGAGAAATTATAGAATGGAAAAAGAAAGAGATTATGCCAAGTGTTGGATATTGGAAGGGGATTAAAGGGATTCAACTGC